AACTGTACCTGGCACTGTTTTAAAGGAAAGGTGGTACGTCAAATGTGGTCCCGTACTAATTTGGTTTAGTTTCGAGCATTGTGTCATGTAGAAATTACCGGTGCTCCTAAATTTAAATATGATCATTGAAGTCTATTGAATTTGTTGTTTATAATTATTTGTTCGTTCAACTCCTAGTCCTATAAAAGAAACTGATTTCAAATTAAATTTCCCCAGTCTGGCAATCATAAATTTGACAGCATATTTTTCTTGTGAATATTTTTCCTAATAGCTAATGCGACGATATCGCTCTTTCTTGGCATTTAAACAAACATTTGACTCATTATTGCATTTAGCTGATTGCAAATATTTGCGATTATGGGGTTAATGTATGACGAATCAAGCGAATTTCGACGCTTTAGATAATTTATTAAATTACGCATATTTGCTGGAAAAATATGCACATACATTTATTGTACAATCATATGTTTGTGGTTAATTTATTGTGTATTAGAAGGAAATTATCTGCAATTTTTTACAATTTAGACCTTAATCTTTTTCTGTTGTGTATGAAAACATACCAATGAAATGAAGCTTTGCAAAACCATTCTTACCTCACCTTGTTCGATTAATTAACAATTTTTATACCGATGACGATGTATATTAGCCCACTACTATTGCTTTGGCAGCACATGATGCCGTATATCAAGCTCTTCCATGGGTTTTAACATTGTGCGGGGAGTATATCATTCATAAGGCAGATGATTTCGTTCTTCAGCTCAGGAATCGTCTCGGGCTTATTGGCATAGACCATACTTTTCACCTAATACCAGGGAAAGTAGTGCCATGGTGTCAAATCCCAAAATTCCGGCCGCCATTTGACCTCATTGTTTCTTGAGATTATGCGCCCTGGGAACTTCCTTCGTAGTAATGCCGTTGCTTCATGCGCTGTGTAGCAAGTGCCATCTTTCTGAAAAACTCTACAAATTGAGCAAGTTCATGTCATCTGACGGTGAATCCGCCAGCTCAAACACCACACCAAACAGTGAATTGGGGGTGCATAAGTTTTTCATGTATGACATGTGTCTAGCTAGCCCATCGGCTATTTCGTTACCATCGGTATTGCTATGTCCAGAAACAGAGCAGAGAGTGGCTGTGACATGACTCAATGAAGCTGACTCTTTTTTCCACCTTTGAGTCCTCGGTCCTATTCTACACTAGTAGGGAATCGTGTAAGAATTCTAAAGCGGAAGCCCAAGAATGACGTGATATAATAAGTTCCGTTTGCTCACCTATTTTAAGCCCACACAACAGCGCTGCCGGTCCGTTTTAATATAAGGACCCTCTACGGCTTCACTTATTACGAATACTTTTGGCGACTTCAAGTGAAGGATCATATTCAGCACCTCTTAAGGTGCAGTGTCCACAGCACCTAATATACCCAGGCATGCGAGCCTCTGCACCCTTCCGATTATTTCATAATACACAGCCACTTTTATCCAGACATTTCCAACAGACCAGAACTTCATGTGGTACAAGTTTTGTCCTCTGAAAAGTGGTTTGCGATCCTTGTAAATCAAGCACGATATATGTATGTTCATAGTTTTATAAAAAGTCGGTATCAGTAGATAAATCAAAATCCCTATTAGTAAACAACGACTGCCTAGAAAATAGGTTGTCATAAATACGTAGATGTATATCTATCCAATACCTATATTTATTTACCCGTAAGGGTTAACTTTGCATTATCATGTATTAGTTTGATTTTTTTTTTACCGCTAAGCCTACAACTAAATCAAAATATTTATTTTACCCGTCATGCACTACATCACCAACATGCTATATATGTATGTACATACATACATATGTATTAACTATTTATGTACATATGTATATATGCATTTGTGAAAAAATTCTATACAAACTTTTCTGCGTAATGCCAAGCGTAGCTTAAATGATTAGAGTATCTTCTTTAACTGATAACCGTAGGCAATATCGACATATGTATTTATGTATGTAAATATGTCTGCTTATAAATCTACTTCTATATCTTATGAGCTTAAATAAGGCACCACTTGCCTCTAGCTTGCGATCAAAAAATAAAGTACATACATATGTATGTACATATGTATTAAATATATGTACAAATATTGTAGTTAACACCTATCTTCAGCGATTGTGTTAAAAAGTACATACACACATTACTTTAGCGGACTTTACCTAAAAGCCACCACATTAAAACACACAAACTACCAATTCTATGTTCGTATATATCTCGGTGATAAAACGTTCACTCACTCGCATGACGAATTAATGGTCTTTTTTTATATGTACATACATACATACGTACATACCTAGTTTAGCAAAAAAATCAAAAATACTCACAATACGTATTAGTATTTTGACTGATATCAGCTGTCAACGTAATGAATAACAATTTGAAATTTGAAGTGATTTAACGTCTTGCAATCACACCAACCCATTCGCGAGCTAAACGAATCCCACAGCACTCGAGTGTTGAGAGTGGTATACAATATGTATTGAGCTGTGATTTTTATGGTGGACACTTAACAGGTGACAGAAGTGGGTTGGAAAATTTATGTTTGCAGCGGTAAAGCGCATTATGGATTCGTACATACATATGTATGTACATACACCTATGTCTGTATGTATGTATGTACATATGTGTCCGTTACTGTGTTTTGATATTAGTGAAGGATTAATAAGGTTTGAATATCGTTGGATGATTGGTGGAATGGTTTACTACTTGTATATGAATATATGTATGTATGTGCATTAGGGTGGTCCTTAAAAAATCAAATGAAGGATTTGTTTAGGTCTCACCCCCTCAATCGGTAATACCTTTGTCAGAGATATCACATATAAATTTTGGTCCCGATTGGAGACGGTTAAGGCGTGTCACAAAGGGGTCAAAGACCTGATACTTGTAGGGACTCAAAAAAATTAAAAATATTTTTCTTCATTCAATGCCCAAAATCGATGCTGCTAAAGTCGAGGATATCACATATAAATTATAGTTCCGATTGGAGTCGGTTAAGACGTCTGCATAGGGTAATTTGAACTTTGATCCCTATGCGACACATCTTAACCGACTTCAATCCGGACCAAAATTTATATCTTATATCTTCGACTATGGTAGTATAGATTTTGGGTATCAGACGGGGAAAAAATGTATTTAAATTTTTTGAGTCTCCACGCCTCAACCATCTCCAATCGGGACCAAAAATTAAATGTGACATTTTCGACTATAGCAGCATCGACGTAGGGGTTGTGGGTTAGGAAATCTGATGTAAAAATTTGCTTCCTACATTTAAGGCCCACCCTAATGTGCATGCTCATTGCTTACGCGATTGTTCAACCATTCGTCTATTAGCTGATGGCACTGCACCATTGCTTAGATTTAAGCAGAGTATTAACTTGTGTTATTGGAAATATTTCCTAGTCAAGTGCAATTCATTGCAAAATGTTATTATTTATTGGACTGATACTTATGGGCTTCAAAACTTCAGCCACATACAGTTAACGGTTGGGAAATTTCGGCATCAACAGTCATGGGTTACGATAGATAATGACTACTTGTTACCAAAGGTTTTTAAACACTTATAAGTTAAATAATTTTAAGTGAAACATGCTTAAACGGGAAATATAGCGCCATTATTGCGAGTAGTATATGATGTGATTGCTCAAAGTGGAATCATTCTGGAAAATTAGGCGAGTAAAACCTTCAAGGTTTGAAGAAGTTCTCCGATAGCGTTGGTGTATGATGTGTTTTGGAACGCATTTTCATCTCGTCCGCTCTCGAACAAAAAACGGCACTGAAGATTGTATATGTATGTAGTTCGAACCGATTTGACTTCAAAACAAATTTGACAAGGGATGACGAAAATTGCTTCTAAAAGACATTTCTATATATCCTTAAATTAAACCGTTACCCTACGAAATTTTATAGACCCCAATGGCGAGAAATCTTACTTACTACAGAAGTATAAAAAGTTTTACCTAAAAGAGCATAAACTTTACTTAGTACATAAATAAAGCCCCGCTCGTGTTATTACAGTTTGGCCTTATGCTGTCAAATGTTATACATAGCAGCATTGTAATCTGTTATATCGAATGATTTCGAATTATGCTGATCATTTAGACGCCTCCAAACCATACCTTAGACTTAGTCAGACTTAACATAGTATAGTTTGGTATACAAATTATAACTCAGGTAATGGTCAATGTTTGCACCAAATAAATCAGCTATTTCATTATGATGAACAACTTATCTTTCAAAAGTTGTCTTTATAATAGAAAATTAAATCTTCAAATTTTACTTAATTTAACCAAAAAAATAATAAAAATTTAGATAAAAGCTGTCGAATGTGCCTAAAAAATTAGTACGTACATTTTGTTACACATCAAGCCAAATCTGTTTGACAGTACAAAAATACGACGGGAATCTTCCATCCTTGATTTTGGGATTCACTTTCTCTAATACGTTAAGCCCTTTTCAAGCTGGAAGAATTTTTCGAAACCAAACAAAGTTTTGGACAAGGCGAATCATTCTTTTGCATCAACCCCTGTCCACGTGCTGCCACTACTTGCTGGGAGCTTCTGAAATATTTGTTCGCCCACAGCCTTTATACTTGCCAGACGAAGGTACCTTCGTATGTCGCCAAAATGTTGATTCAGCTTGAGAGAGATCTATTATAAATAGATGAGGAAAAGTCAAATTACCTCCTAGCAATACACAAAGGGCGCACGACATTGTTGACATAATAAACTTCGAATCTAAATATAAAGGACTTTGTTTACTTAGGAGCCAGCGTACTGCCAGTCAGAGATCGAACGAAGCATAGTTCTTCCTTAGTTAGACTTAGCAGGGCTTTTCAAATTAAAATAAATCAACCTTAACCTGGCCACACTGGCTCACACTCAAACTTTCACTAACACAACTACACAAACTTCACAAAAAACTAACTTAAAAATCATCAACTTTTTTCTGCCATCCATAGATGACGCTTTCACAAATATGCCGCACCTCTTACCAAAATCCGTACGCCTTTCCCTCGGGTGAGATTTCCGATGAATTGCGTCGCAAATTCGATCAATGGTGGTCGCAACAACTAACGCCTCAATCAAGTATTGCACCAAAAATGTTACCGTTCCTAACTGCACCAACATCAGTGCCCAACGAAATGGACTTCAAAGTCGGCTCGGCGGCCGTAGCAGCAGCCGCTGCTGCCGCCGCTGCTGCACAAGCCGGCCTACATGCTGCCTCGGGCGTAGGCAATGTTCCTGGTGGCAATATGCCCAGTCTCAGTGGCAGTCATGATTCACTGCTCATGAATGATGCTACACATCATGGTCCACCAGGTGCTGCCTCCACACATCATCCCAATATGCTGGTACATCCAGCCATGCATCCGTCGATGCACCATCATCATCACCATCCACACTCACAATATCCAAATCAAAAGACACGCATGCGCACCAGTTTTGATCCAGAGATGGAGTTGCCGAAGCTACAGAAATGGTTCCAAGAAAATCCTCATCCATCACGTCAACAAATACAAACGTATGTAGTGCAATTGAATGCGTTAGAATCGCGCCGTGGCCGCAAGCCGCTGGATGTAAATAATGTTGTTTACTGGTTTAAAAATGCGCGCGCCGCTCAGAAACGCGCCGAAATGCGAGGTGGTTTGGCAGCGCTGGGTCATCCCGGCCTCAATGGCTTTGTGCTGAATCAGCACGGACAGCTGGGTCAAAGCTCAAGCAGCAGCGGTGGTAGTCAGCAATTGAATAGTAGTAATATTAATTTAGCCATGTCCCATGACTTCCTAAAGAGTCCGTTGAGTCTGAAGTCGGAAGATGTGGACACAATGTCACAGCATTCGGAAGACATGGACGAAGACAATAGTCGACCAGGCTCGCCACAACTACCGCTCTCGCTGACCACACACGAACGCAATCGCAATTCACCGCTTGAGGGCGCTGAGGGAAATACGGAACAAAAGGAGAGTCTTCGTGATATGGTTGAAGCAGAGATCTTGGTGAAAAGTGAAGCTGACTGCCAATCGATGCTGAACGGTTCGCTAAATCAATCGCTACGCGCATGCTCGCGCAGCTATACGGAGGAGGGGACACAGCCGCAGGATAAACCAAGCGAAGCACAAGCAGGCGACCAACAAGGCGACAATCCCAATGAGAATACAACAATTAGTCAGCAGAATGAAACAGAGCACAACAATAGCAATAATAATAATAACAACAATAATGCAAGCAATGCCAACATTGCCACTAGTGATAGCACTAACAACAACAACAGCAATATTATCAATGAACAGTCCTATGATGCTGTGAACACACAACCGCAAGCACATTCCTCACCCAAAATGAATTCGCCCAAAGAGGAGGATGATGATCTTGATATGGAGGATGACGACGACGACGAGAATGATGCATCACAGCTTGATGATTACTGTTCGCCATCGCCCGACTTGGCTAATGCCTTAGCACAACGCAAAGATATGCCATTTTCAATGGTACCCAATTCGATGTTCTCACAGTCCTTTATGTACATGAGCCATTACATACCCGGGTTCGGTCAAGCGGCTGCCAATCATCCGCATGCGCACCATGCCGCTGCTGCAGCGGCTGCCGCGGGTATGCCACCAAATGCGCTAATGAATCCGAGCGGTCTGAATTTGTCGAGCATGTCGAATGAGGAGCGACGTAAAAGGAATCGTACCTTCATTGATCCGGTCACGGAGGTGCCGAAACTGGAGCAATGGTTCGCTATGAACACACATCCATCGCACAATTTAATACTGAAGTATACAGAAGACCTAAACACAATGCCTTACAGGTAAGTTTAAAGAAATTTACGAGTAAATTATTTAGTATATACACATTTCGTTGTCTTAATATAGAAAGGATCTAACTCATTTTTTTCTGTTGAAATTTCTGCCGATTAATCACCAAAAACACGTTAATTTGAAAAGATAAATTATACAGCATAAAATTAGATATAAAATTAGATAGTTATTATATTTAATTTTTCGAACCTACTTACTGGCTAAATGCACCGAAATTATTTCAAAGGGAGTATTTTCAATTCCCCAATTTCCATTTCCTTCCCTTACTGTCGAGTGGTTGCAGATGCATACTGATACCCTGTACGATCCAGGCTTGATTCCAAAAACAAGCTTTTCACAAAAACGATCGCCTCTTAGCGGACAACGACAAAACTCTGAGCCTACTTTTACCATGAAATATCTTCTCGTAAAACAAAACCATCTTCTATTCAAAGTCGGCCTATAATTCCCTAATCTTAAAAACAAAAGATGCTGTCTTCTTACCTATTAAATGTGTACAGAATATGGTCCCACATCTCTTCGCCTACAAGATAAATTCGTCATTCACCAATCGTGGTCCGGGCAATCTGGTTGTGACCGCTTAGGTACAATGTGAGCAACTTGATGTTGGATCTACTCAAAGCGAAAGGATAGCCATAAATTGTGTCCTGTTCGAGACCACCTACCGCTCCTCGGTGCTTACTACCGTTCTGAGTTTACCACTCGGTACCAGTAGATCCCAAAGCAGAGGTCACAAAATGGTTGCGGTTCCACAAGCACAGACGATTAGCCTTTTCTTCCAGTTCCTCGCCTACTTCATTTCCATAGATCTAGCAGTGGTCTGGTACCCAAACAATGCTACCGTGTTTCTTGCTGCCAAGAGTTGAAGAATGTCACCTTGGACCGATGGATTGCGGGTCATCTTCACATTGCAATTGAAAAACTAGTGCTGGATCCATGAGCATCCTAATCTGTCTTCTATCCTTGACCTGTATGTGTAGGAGGATTCTACGTGTAATTTTAAGCAAATTTGCTGAAAAAACCATGGGTCTAAAATCAATTGGGAGTTTGTTTCTTTTACTTAGCATATTGATGTAGTGCCGTAAAGAAGAGCTTAAAGTTTGTATAAAAGCTATAAAAGGTTTTTGGTAAGAGTAATCTTTTTCTGGACTTATCTTTTTCCTTAAATTTTTTATTTTTTTTTGTCGAGCGTAGGGGTCGCCTTTTTACATTTTTCTTCAGATTTTCGGCATTTATAGTCTGCTCTTAAAGTATGATATATGGATGTGCTTGTCCCGAGGATAAAAATTCTTTCGTTCCGAAATTCATTGACCTCAAGCTCCAGGTCTAGTACTTACCAGATCTAAGTTCTTATCAACTAAACGCTCCACTCTAATTTCCGTTAATTAAAACTCACCATTATTAAACTCCTTCTTCCAGTTGAGCTCATTACGCAAGTTTTTTAATGCCACCGAAATGCGTACAAAAGGGTCGCCTAGGTTCGGCAAAAAAAAAACGTTTCTAAATTACCTTGCAAAAATACTTTATTCTCGGAGGTGTACGGCGAACGTTTTTTGTTTACTTGTATACACATACATATCGTTTCCTTTATATGGAACGGGCATAACTAATTTTATTTCGAAGTTCAGATTTGTACAAAAATCGGTATGTTAGATAGGGTTTTCCTTTATTATGGCTAGGATATATAGATACCATTTAAGTAATGAAGTCAAATTGTATAGATACGTTTTCGAAGTCGTTTTCGACGGCTCAGTAGAAGATCGACCTATCTTGGTAGCCTATCTCAGAAAACTTTTCAACAACGCCCTATTTCAGAAACGCCCAATCTCCGATAAGTTTTCATAGTCCTGACTTTACACAAAAACAAAAATCGACCCACCATTATTTTTTATTTTTATTTCGACTGTCACGAATCAACATTTATTTATAAAACGTTTGCATTTTTGTCACCTTTGCAGGCAGAAGTTCCCTCGCTTGGAAAGTAAAAATGTTCAGTTTTGGTTCAAGAATCGACGCGCCAAATGCAAGCGACTAAAGATGTCGCTCTATGACGGCTCTCAGCTACAAGGTCTCAACTCATTTGTGAGCAAATATGAAGAACGCGATTAAAAAGGAACGAGCCAAATAGTAGCTGCAAAGAGAGCAATAATAATAGTAAAAGCGATTAGTGCGGATGGATAATGTGAGAATAGCAGGTTTGTGTAAAAAAAGTAGTTCTTTGTAAAATCAAAAATGTCGATTACCAGTGATAAAGCGACTGATTGTTGTGTGAAATAAAATTAAAATTAAAAAAAAAACTATCATAATAAATATTCTCAACGAATATTATGAAACAACTATTAACTATAATATTAGCACCATTGTAGTATTGAATTTAGTTTACTACTAACTACTAAGCGACGATAAAAAATTTAGCCAGAAGTCATTTTTATAAGAAAGTAACCAAAAAAAATTACGAGACCGGCCAATTGTGTGTGTTACAATTACAACATAAAAATACAAATATGAGCTCTTTTAATTAATTTGTATTATATATAATATGTGTTTGTTAGCTATTATATTTATTAAAGGAGAAGAAAATGACAAATAATAAAATAAAAATTATAGATTTTAAAAATATCTAGTTTGATACATAATATTTATTTAAGGGGTTCTGCACTAAGATAAATTAATTAGAAATTGTTTTAATTTAAATTAGGTCAGTTTAAATATATTGAACATCCAGCACTATTAACTGTATTAATTAATATGTATATATCTATTTAAACCTAAACTATTCGATAGAAATTAATAAATTATATTGTAATTAAAACGTAGTTAAAACCAAAGATGGCATTTCTAAATACCTTTTTTAGGATAAATCTGGTGTAATATGCAATAAATCAGCGAAAATGCGCAAAGAGAGAATACAATTTTTTTTTTTTTCACTTTTTTATGTACGCGCCCTCGTTCATTATATTAAATTAAACGGATTTGAAATTTGTTTTGTATATCCGGCTCAACATCAAAAAAAGTAAAGCAAACAAAAAATCTTTTTCAAGCAATTACTATACATACATACATATAAAACATACTTTTCAATAAAGAAAATTTAAAATTTATTAGCGACAATTTTGATTTGTACGATAATTTGATTGCATGAATGCACAAATCGATGCTTTAAAAAATAATTAGAATTTTTCAAATTTAATGTATAGTATACTGCTATGTGAGCATTTTTCGCGTTGTATTTACTTTTAGTTTAAAGACATTAAGTTTATAGGTATTTGATACCAAGCAATATGAAAATTACAACAATTAGTTTGGAAATATGAGTGCAGCTAGTAATTACATATTCAAACGAGAACCATCAACATATGTATTACATAAAAAAAAAAAAAACACTTCAAAAAGTTGTGTGCCCAAAAAACAAAATCGAAGATTTTCAGTACATTTACGAAGTCGGAAAAAAGCAGCGTTGGCCGGAGAGAGCTTGCACCATAAAGCATAAAAATGGTTCTGCAAGCTCGCCACTGAAGCGGTCAACTGTAGTTTAAGGTCATCTAAATATCAAAGAAAAAACTTTAAAACCGCACATAACTTTTAACAAATAGCCTACATAAAACTACTTTGGTATGCAAAATTGCATCAAATAAAATAAGCAATCCCACAAAACTAAGCAAAAGCACTTAACAGAGTAAAGTAAAATTAATTAGTTATAAATTTATAAAAAAAAATTATTAATTATATTTAAAATTAAAAAAATCACAAGTGTAATGTATTTAATACTGGTAAATGACAAATTATTTGTTTTTAGCTTTTAAGCGCACTGTAAAATATAATTAAAAAAAAAAACATATTTCAAGTTTGTAAAATAATTAAAAAATAAACAATATTCGTCAATTTATTGCAAAAATTCCATAAATGAAAACAAGAAATAAAAATTTTAAATGTAAAATTAAAGACGAAAGTGTTTCATTTAATTCAGCGTACTACGTTCCAAAACTAGGAGAAGACTTATGCCTACAAGCGGGAAATTTTAAAATATTTGTAAGTATAAATGCATTTTTATTATAGAAATAAAAATACACTCGGAGTTCGCGTAAAACTGTAGGTCTCTCCCCTTTGTGTGACAACATCAAATCGGAGGAGAAGCTCGGCCAAACACTAGCGCCATTCTATTAATTTAATTACATATATATCAAATTATCGAAATTTATCGGCAAACTGGAATGTATCGGATAAATTCCAAGCCCTGCCTAAGACATACAAAGATATGAAAAATTGAAGTCACAGTTTAGTTCTAAAGCAAGAGATTTTTCGGGAAGTAGTTTTGTATCCTATAAGTTAAACGGAGTACTAAATTAGAAAACATCTCCAGTGCTATTAAAAAGCTACAATTTTCGACAGTAACTGGCACTGATAGTATTTATAAATAGGCAATGTTATTTCTCATAAAAAAAAGAGAATTAGGTAGTAGTAGGGTCTTGAAATTGCAAAAAAAAAGGAATGGGCACCCTAATATACATACGTGCATATCGATAGTATAGTATGGGAAGGGCGCAACTAACAGCGGCGCTGAAATACAAACATCTCTAAAGTATTTTAGTTGTTTCAAGCAAGGCATATTCAACGAGGTGGAAGTGATTTCGCAAGTCAAACCGTAACCAATCTAATCCAAGCATCTCTTCTATGAAGGCTTGGAGCGTAATAACAAAATTGTGCTTGGCGATTTAAATGCCAAGGTGGGGAAAGACGGGGTCTTTGGCCACACAGTCAGAAAATTCAGCCTCCCCCGACACATGGTACTATTAGGTACCAGCACAAAAAAAATATCAAGCTACATGGCTGTTACTAGATCGAAAACCGAGAAACCAAATCGATCGTGTTATGATAGACGGAAGGCGCGCTTCCAGTGTTTTAAACGTACGTACACTCCGAGGCCCAAACATCGACTTCGATCAATATCTGGTTGCAGCCAAGATGCGCACCCACCCCTGTGTAGCAAAAAATGTGGGCTGAACAATGCAAGGAAAGCTTAACGTCGGAAAGCCACAACAACAACAGACGACCAATTCATTCACCACTCGACTCTCACACCTTCTCTCTAAGAGCACTCTTCAACAAGCCGACATACGCGAGCAGTGGAGCCGCATTTCACGCTCATTATCTAACACCGCCGAAGAAGTAGTAGGATTTTAGCAAATCCGGAAAAACAACTGGAACGATGAGGAATGTTAAGAAGCTGCAGAGAAAAAGATGCCGCCTACAGGGCCACGCTGTGATCGGGTGCAACGCGAGCCATCCGGGACGTATTTGCTAAAATAAGAAGAGAGAGGCCGAAATACATGAATGCGAAGAGCTTGAAATGCCCGACGACTGGAATTTAAGTGTGCTCTGCCCAATCCACAAGAAAGGTGACCCAGGAATTCGCGTCAAATGCCTCGGGATCAGCATTCTAAGCATAGGTAACAAGGTCTTTTCCAGCGTTTTGTGTGGAAAACTGAAGCCCACCGTCAACGAATTGATTGGGTCTTATCAGTGTGCCGAGAATAAGGTCAACACACACCATCTATTCGTCGATTTCAAACCCGCTTTCGACAGCACGAAAAGAAGTTGTCTTTATGCCGCGATATCTAAGTTTGGTATCCCCGAGAAGCTAATACGGCTGTGTAAAATGACCTTGAGCAATACCACCAGCTCCATCATAATTGGGAAGGAGCTCTTCGAGCCTTTTAATACCAAACGAGGTTTCAGACAAGCTTGACTCCCTTTTATGTGATTTCTTTAATCTGATGTTAGAGAAGGTCATAAATGCCTCAGAACTGTGGTAAAAGAGGACAAGTCGAAGTATCTCCTGTCATCAAAAAAATAGTCAGCGCATTCGGGCCTTGGCACTCATCGATAATAATGTCAGCATCGAAATCCAGCGCAGAATCACTCAGTAGTAGGCAAAATTCTCTCTCGTCGTACAAAAATCTTACTCTATAAGTCACTCATCATGCCTGTGCTGGTGTATGGCGCGGAGGCATGTACAATGAAAATATCCGATGAGGCGTATGAGGAGTATTTGAGAGAAAGATTTTGTAGAAGGTTTACGGACCTTTACGCGTTTGCGACGGCGAGTACCGCACACGACGCCGCCATGAGCTGTATGAGCTTTACAACGACATACACATAGTGCAGCGATTCAAAACACAGCGGCTTCGCTGGCTTGGCCACGTCGTTCGAATGGACACCGACGCTCCAGCTTTGGTAGTATTCAACTCGGAACTCGCTGGTGTTAGCAGAGTCAGTTGGCTCAGAAAAGAAAGAACCTGATGGTTTTCTTAAACTCGGCCAAACCCGTTTAGGCGCCTACAGCGCCAAATAAGAAGAAGAAGGATTTCCGAAACAATAAATTGCAAGTTAAAAAATATTTTTTTTTAAATAAAATAATTGCAGTAAATGTATAATATCTTTGTGTTCAATTATTTCGCTGTATGACCTCCTGGCATCTTCTCTTTAAGAAATTAAAAAAATTAGAGCAAGTTGCATAGATTATGGGGTATTAGAGGAGGCTACGCAGCATTGGCATCGGACGTGATTCGAAAAGTCCGTTTCGCTGAAGGCGCTACATGTTGTACTTAAACAAGTATTTGAAGGATATTTGAAATTGCATGCGATGTCAAATTAATGCGGAAACAAAACGAAAGGAGCGGAACGCAAAACGAGTCAGATTTCTAAGGGCATCACATTGTTATTGGATATGCGTGAAAATTCTTATCTACATTTTGGTCGTCGACGAGCGAAAAGCAGCTAATAAAAAATAAAACCCCTGAAAATCACTCTTTATGTATACGCAAAAAAGCAATGCTGCCACTTTTTGAAGTGAAACTTCTTTAGCGGGGGTGCTAAACTAAAAAACCGTCGCGGAAATAATGTGGCACTTGCCATGCTACGAAGGTGAATCCAGTTTGAATTTCACTATATCCGCCTTCAATAATATTCAGAGTGAATAATCGAATTGTGCTACGCAGAGGTTTCAGGTTAAGATTAAACCTAAGCCGGAGACAAAGACGTATGCGAAGAGGAATGTGAAGGCAAAGACTAAGATGAATATGAGGGCCATAACGAATACCATGACAAATACGGAAAATAATTCGAACGCGAAGATGATTACCGAGACGAATATAATGCTTAAGCAAAGACAGCGACCAAAGGACTGCGAACACGACGTCGAAAACGAATAAGAATTTGAACCCGAAGACATATGCAAACACAAAGTTGAAGATGATTACGAAGACGAATTTGGAGACGATGACGAAGTTGAATACAACGACGAAGACGAATACGAAAACGATTACAAATACAAGTATGAAGTCGAACATAAAGTCGAAAAATAAGTCAACTACAAATTCATACACGCAGATGAATACGAAGACAAATTTGAAGTCAAACACGACTATGAAAACGAAGTGCAATACGGAGATCAACACGAAGGGGTAGGCGAAATTAAATTTCGAGACGAATGTGAAAACTAAAGCTGAGACTAAAACGAAGATGAAGACTATAATGAAGGTATTTAGTAAGTGAGAGGTATTTTTATAGATATCTACATATTAGTCGGAAAAAATACAAATAACGATACCGCAAAAATTTTATTCAACGCTAACCCTTTCCCTGCATTTGTACAATATATTGTACATTTATATTTTTGTAACATTGGAAGCGTGCTACTAAAAATCGTATTAATATTTTTGAAAACAAATTCAACTTTATGAAGTTTTGGAATGTCCCGAATAGTTTACGTTAATTTCAAAACGTTTCAAAAATATTTTTAGAATTTAATTTAAAAATAGACCATTTTATAAAATTCCAATGACACGCAAGTTGTGGTAATTTACAGTACAAAAAATACGTGACATTTAAATAAAATCGCTAATAAAAGCACATATAAAAAGCATTCCACCATATAAAAATGCTAAAATTAAATTATGATTTAAAA